ATTCGCTTAGATAAATGTGGTGTCTGCAAAATTGAATTTCCTAAAACACAAACCATCCAAATAATGCACATTAAATAAAGAGATGGTAATTATGAGTGTATAGATTGTAGCATTTTTCTTTTGTAATTTTATATTAAAAATGTACAATTTTTTTATTAAAAGGTAAATGGATGCAAAATACTTGCTTACTCGATCCAACTTGAAGTCAGTGCTTTGGATGTATGCACCATGTACAATATGTACCAGACCAGGCGCAATGCATACTGTTGGACTGTGGCCATGGATGGTATTGTGCGACATATAACTCAACACCTCCGGCCACATGTGAGGTTTGTGGTGATGTGGTCAAAGGCACTATAAGAATATTTTTAAATTAAGTATATATTTCATCATTTTTTTGATGATTATTTATATAGGTAGTTTTCTTTATGTATTTTTTTTCTTATTATTATTTACCTTAATAATTGTATGACTTGTTTAATTCTTTTTAAGATTGAGTAAAATGTAAAATGACTAAAATAAATATTTCATTTTCATATTTGCTTATTTATTATTATTCAGGAGAAATTCTAAAAAACTTTTACCAATAGCAGATGATATGTTTTAATTGTTAAAACAAATTTCAAAAGATAAGAATACCACATAATATTAATTTATCTATTGTAGAAATTGGCTCCAACGACTATAACATTTAATATGGCAGATTTGTGTTACTTATTATTTCATCATAGTTGCAATTTCTACCTTTAACAGTTGAAAATTGTAAGCAAGCTTACTTATATAATATCTACTTATTCTTAATATCTTATCTACCAGCCTAACCTATTTAAATTGCAATACTTCATTAAGCACTTCATCTGCCAAAATATGACAAAAATAGTAATTTAAATACAAAAATTGAAAAAAAAACATGTTAGATATCATTTCAAAACCAATACCTATCTCTTAATAATTAATACTTAAAAATGTAATTTATCATTAATCATTGTTTTACTTGAATTCAAAACATGGTTATTGCTTTTGAGGTAATACCTAAAATATCATCAAAAATTAAAATGCCAATTGGGGAATTCATATGTATAGAAAGCTTTAGGTCTAATCACATATGATATGTTCTGTAGACACCCATCATCCGAATAGGTTGAATATGTTTAAAATAGCTTACAAATCTTCAACCGCAGACAGGATGGTCTTGTATCAATGTTTTCCATTAATGGGAAAAGAATATTTAAGTTACACAAAATATATTTTCTCTATAGAAACTGAGACAACAAATTGTGTTCATAACAAAAATAACTCAATGAATCTCAAATTAAGAGATGTGATTGGAATTAAAAAAATATTTTCTAGATATTAAAAGTATTGTGGGTCCAGCAGCAATTATTTATTTTGAACAATATTAGTAATACAAGACGGGAGAGCTTTAAATGTCTATAAGGATTGTAGACAACAGTACAAATATAATTTTTACTTTGTCAGTTGTCACTTGTCAAATCATAGGAAAAAAAATGACTTAATGACATTGAGATGGATTAAGAAAGGTCAGGTTGGGTAAATAACATATCTAATACCTATACATTTTAATATCCTACCGTGACAACGTATAATAAGCTTCTGTTTTTCATTCAAAAATTCTGAAGTTCTGATCTCTAAGATCTTCTCAATATCGCCCACCGCAGTTTACAATTTTTTAGTTTTTTAGTTTTTACTTATCAGTAGGGCTCGGATTTTGTAGTAAAATAAATCCTTAAAAAAACATTTTAAGTTACCAGAAAAAGCATTTATAAAATTTAATTCTAAAAAACAAATTTCAACTACACATAAAATTAAATATTAAAAAAGGAATTTACAACCATATATTTATCAAGTTACTTTCATTAAAACTCATACTAATTGGTGCTAATATAATTTTAATTTTTAACTTTTGGCATTTTGACGATTATAGAGAGCATTATACTTCACTGATTGTCGTTTGATATTTAGCAGTCAACTAAAGTATTGGGACGTAGGTACTATAAAAATACGCAGGTAAAATTCAAATAATTTTCACTTTCCTTGAGTCGTAAATACAACTATAGATAATTGTAGATAAAACTACTTTGGCACAATAGCCATCGTTATTTTATCAGTCATACATAAATTACTTGTTTTTTCACTGGTATTATAATTTCTGGTAATATTAATTTAGTCCAAGTATAATATACATAGAAATAACTTAAATTTTCAAGAAAAATGTATAAAAATAAATAAAAAAGAATCAAATAGGGGAAAATGCAAAAAAGGAAAACAAAGTTTACTTCATTAAAATCGGAACGATTCAAAACGTATTTATATATAAAAATTACCTTTCTATCATACTCCCCCCAAAAGAAGTACCTATTTGCTACAAAAGCTGACAACAAATTTCCACAAATTGTATTTTGTAGTCATTAGTCATTGACTCATTGTAGATAGAACTGATAGAAAAAAAAACAATAATTATAGTCAACAAAATATTATGGACGGTTTTATCACTATTTTTACTTATCGTACCTATTATATTTTTAATTTGGCCGTCCAGTGTCAACGACTTGTAGCAGTTGTTGCAGTCGTCAACATCAACATGTAGACTTAAAAAAATAAATAAAACAAATCAATGTTAGGGGTGTAAAAATTGTATCTTATATTACTATCACGACTGCCGCCGACTGGGAAATGGAAACTGCATCAAGTAAAAATTATGTTCCGGAAATTGATCTTTACCCAAATGGAAATTGTACCAATGTCTAAGTTTGTTGCAAGGTGGTTTGCACGAAAGGCAACAACAAGATTTGCGGTGGACTGTCAGACCAGGACGCCGTACGGGGACATGTTCTCGTTAGGCCGCATTGCCGCAACGACCTGCTTTTCAGCCGGCAATACTGTCGACGGAGCAAGATGATATGATCAACGGCGAAAACTATGACATGCAGCAACAGGCATACAAGCAAGATCAGGTAAAGCAATAAGTAGGTAATAACGCGTTCGAACACGGAACACTTTTGCATTTTTGCTGCCAGCACTTATCATTAAGACTAATAAGACTCCTTCAAGCTGCGCTGCGGCCGTAGAAACTTCAATGAACGGCGCTATTCCTCCCAGCGAGCCATCGAGTTCACCGGTGATCTTGCCGCCGGCCCGGTTGTTTAATTGTGAGTGCCGCCGAGAAAATCTCCAGTGATCACGAGACTTGTGTTTTTGTCGTTGCCGCAATCAGCCGGCATCATCAGAATCATAAGCAAGTAATCGATTTTTTGTTTTCCGTCTTAGAGGTTGACCACAACGCAGCGTCGCGTACGTTCACCGCCCGAGTGCCTCCGCAATACTTCGTGTGATCACGATACGTGATAATATCGTATTTGTCGTCATTGTTGTGATCAGCAGGCATACCCAATCTGTCAAAATACCTACTCATCAATTATATTATTGTGAGGGCCATCCGGTTTTGCCGGTTTTGGTTTCCATCGTTTTCAGGCCCGGATTAACAGTATCGTAGGCTCTAGACCCATGTGCTAATACGGTCCTGTAGTGTTCAGAATTTAAATGATTTTTTTTTTTTTTGGCTTATTCCGGGCCTTGAAGGTCCATCGCCGCTTCTACTACACCTCTCCACAATTCTCTGTTCTTCGCCAGTTGTTCTCCCTCTCTAATCCCCAGGAGCTTGAGGTCTTCTTTAACTCGGTCTGTCCATCGCTGTCTTGGCCTCCCTATTGGTCGTTTCTTATTTGGTTTCCACACATTGTGACATCATGTACTGTTTGGCCCTCCGCTCTCCAAACATGCCCGGCCCAGCTTATTCGTCTGCTTTTAAGTATTCCCACTATGTTTGGCTCGTTGAACATTGCCCTTAGTTCTGCATTAGTTCTTCGTTCATATAAATTTTCCTCGTTTCTTTTGGGTCCATAAATTCTCCGCAGTATTTTCCATTCAAATAGTAGTAATCTTTTCTCGTCCGACTTTGTTGATGCCCATGCTCCACAAGCACACAATACTATAGGTCTAATGAGTACATTATATAGTCTTATTTTTGTATTTTTGGAGATTAATCTTGATTTAAATGATTAAGAAACATAATGATTGGGAGATGTAGTGTTGAATCCCAGTGTTTTAAGCCTTTAAAAACGAAAATATTTACAACATGAAAATCAAATATTAACTTTTATAATTATAACTTTACTTGATAAGAACTGAAATATGTTTTTAAGGGGAATGCTTCGTCTCCAACAATGACGTATGGAACTTCAATAGATGTGCCAGGTAACTTTACACTTCGTGGTATTCGTAGTTTATCTTGCTCAATAGCTTTACCTAAATTAGAATGTGTAAAAATTCCACCATCGCTACTTTTGCCGTATGCACCAACATCAACTGCAATAAAATTGTACTTAGCATCAACAAGAACCATTAAGACGACTGAGAACGTCTTCTAGTAATTAAAGTACAACGATCCACTATTTGGAGGAGCTTGAATGTTAACATGCTTGCCATCCAAAGCGCCTACGAAATTCGGGAAGTTCCAAATTGTATTGTAGTCATTGGCAATAGATTTCCACATATCTTCCGTTGGATTAGGCATCATTTCAGCCAACAGATTGTCACATATAATCTTACAAGTATCGTTTACAATTGCTTGTACTGTGCTATGTCCCAAACGGTAACTGAAAGAAATTGTCTGTAGAGAATCCCCCGTCGCTAAATATCTAAAAAAAATTATTTAAATTACTAAATTTAAATTAACTAAATTAATTTGGTTTCCAATAACAGTTTAAATTTATTTTATGATTTATTAAATTGATTTGTTGATCAATATTATTAAAATTCCGATGTACGTACACAGAGGTACGAGTGCATTAAAAAAATAATATCTAATTTAATTATTTATATTTATAATATTATACAATGATACCTACTATCATTACATTCAAATTTAACACATATATTATAATTTATAGTAATCTACCTACTCCACATCTACTATACAGCAGAGCGACTTTCCCGGTTTTTTTTATATATTATTCGAATAAAATGTTATGTAATTGTTATGTATCTTTTTAGTTGCTGCGTGTAAAGCAAGATGGAATAATATTCGAGACACTTACAGAAAGTCATTGAAAAAAATACAACAAAAAGTGGACAAAGTGCTGCTAAAAAATAAAAAATTATAAATTTGCAGATCAATTAAGTTTCATAAACAAATATTTTGAGGAAAGAAAATCTAAAACAAATATTGAATATGAAAATGACGAAGAAGAGGAAGAAAATATGCAGCCAGATTCAGAGGAACAGCTACCTGAAGAAGATTTACAAAGTCAACCATCTCTCACCTCGGTACAAACCAATGAAATTCATGTTCCGATAAAAACCATAAAACAAAAAATTTCGAAGACTTCAGTTTCTCAGCCAACTGCCTCTGCGAAATTAATGGACTATTTAATAAGTAAAAAAAAGAAGAAAATCAAATGTCCACAGGTTCGCATCATCCAGTTGATGCGTTTTTATCTGGTATAGCTCCAACTTTAAAAACACTTTCTCCATACGATTTGCACTTGGCAAAGTCAGAAATTTTTGCTATTGTTCAAAAATATGAACTACAACAAATATTAAGAACAAATTCATCAACCGCGTCATCAATGAACTCAGTCACTCCACCACCATCGCCCAGTGAAGATTTTAACGCACACATTTCACCAAATCAAAATATATCTTCAGCGTCATTCCATAACTTGCAAAGTTACTATCAAAATTATCAATCTGATTAGTAATACTTTTGTTTAAAATAAAAATGGTATCTTTCCAGTAATTTTTTAACTATACATATTATAATATATATTAACTTATAATTTTTGTTTTTTATTTATAAGTAATTTTATAGCATACCTTAAGCAAACCGCTAACCGTTCCTTTGGTGTTATAGATTTTCTCCAATGTGTATCTTTTTTCTTTAAATATATACACAATTTATCAAGTAACGTATTAAAACAATATTCAGATATTCTGAAATATTGATAAAATTTAGTTCCATCTTCAATCAGTTCCTTATAAAGTGTCAAAAACTCTCCTTCACTGTCTCTTTTTTGCCATGCCTCATGCACCCACTTTCGTCTCTTCGGAGTCTTCTTTTCTTCTTGTTCGGTTTCCTCATCCAAAATAATCGCAATAATACATAATTCTTCGTCAGTGAAATTCGCCATATTCACGTTGTAATGCTTAGTATTATTTTATTATTTTATTATTTTATTATTTTAATTATTTTAATGTTAACAAAAATATACAAAAAATACGTGATGAATAAACGCTTGTTTGGTATAGACTCAACACGACTGACCGGTCTCGGTGACTGATATGTGTGAAACACACTTGACTGATAGTCAAAAACGTTGGCGACTTGACTGTCTCTGATCGGATACGTCACTGTCTCGTGACTGATATGTGTGCATCGACCTAAAAGCGACGCCGTCGTACATCAAACATCGAATTATTTAATAAAGCTGGGAAATATACCTAACCAATGCACTCAAAATGAATACATAAAATATTAATTATTAATTTCGTGCTCGACAGTATTCAGAGAAAAGATTTAACTTGGAATTTTCGGTATACGGTAAATGTGATGCATTAGGCACTGAATACCTTTATGTTAAATCTAAAAAGTAGTAATCACATTTATTACAATACGATTTGTATTTAATAACTCATAAATAAATATGCTTGTGCTTCGAATATTTTAACACCACCTTTATCAATTATTAAATTAAAAATTGAAATAATAGGTACTTTATAAATTGTTGTTATTTAAATTTGAAAATTATAAACTATTTTGGTTATTGTTATACCATCATTATCTTAATGATCAAATCTCAAACACGGACCTTCTTGATATAAAAATTTGTTATGTACCATATATCTATGGTTTTATCATATTGACGTAGTATAAATTATAATGCAATCCGTGGCGATTGTCGAAGTAGTTGCAAAGACGCAATCGGTCTAAAATTTCAATTATTAGCAAAGCAGAGATGGACAAGAAACATGAAGCGATCCGTACGGTTTTTTTCTTCATAATAAATCTCAATGTTTCAGACTTAAGTTCAGTCGAGGGCATCTGATTTATTCCGCAGTGCACACACAATAATCAGGGATTCCGCCGAAGACCGAAAGTGTCGATGTTTCAAGTAATTAATTTTGGTTTCATATTTTTTTGGTTGTTAAATTTACTTTTTATACTTCAAATAAAAATTTAATTTCATGAAAAATATGCTACCCCTATGTAGACACATATTTTATTTCTGAGGGTAAATGCATAAAATAAGAGAGATCAAAATTAATAATATACACACGCCGCTCGTCGTCATCGTTTTTCTGCTCCCTGTTTGTAGGGTAATTTCATAATTATAACTTATTTTTAACGAGTTGAAATAGACATACATTATATGGTTTAATTTAGAATTACCCGTTATAAGTGATTACTCATAAGACACAATTTTAATTTAAAACTTATAATTTTTTTTTAATCCAAAGTTAGCCGTTGCATTACACTATTAATTTAGTGTTACATATATTTCATTGTTCTATTATATATTAATATTACAATTACATTATATTATAGTTGTATCTAAAAACCAAAAAGGTTCACAGAGTGGTAAACTCACTATCCTAACCAGAAATCAACTCGCACGAGTGATTATGAAAAACATTATACTTTTATACTAGTATCTTTATATAATATAATAAATAGTAATGAAATAAATAGATAAATAGATAAATTGTTCAATTAAAAAAAGAGACATCTCTTATTACTATAGTTGACTTTCGTACCAATGTACCAACATATATTTTTTTTTACTCATTCACATATAAAATTACATGTGGTTTCATTTTTATTGAACTAGGGGTACTTTTAATTTTTTTTGCCAAATCATTGTGCACATCTAATCTATTTACACGTCGTACATACGCTACAAAATGATCATGTCCATAAGAATTTATTTTACAATTTATTTTTTTATTTTTTTTGTTTCTGTCATTACGTTATTTTGAGAAAGTATAAGTGCTTAGATTTTCTTCAACAAGCATCTTTTCTGGTAGAAATGTGAATAGTATCGGTACTTCAAGGGGTCAAAAGTAAAAAATTCTCAATATAGTTTTCAAAAGTGGCAGGAAAAACAAACAAAAAATTAAGGAAAAAAATTGAATTTTTACAGAAACCGGGTTTTGACCAATTCGATTTAGGTTTTTGATGTAACTCTCAAATAAAAAAATCGTAGACCGTAGACCGAGAATTTTTATTGAATATTTATTACGGCGTTTTCCATAAACCATACAATTTTGACAACACATTTTTATATCCATTTGAATTTTGAATTTAGACAATATTAGCTTAAGTCACGAAAATGTGCAAAATATTTTGAGTTAGAAATTCATACAAATTTTTCATTTTATATCTAAGTTTTTAAAACTTAATACAAATTCCTTATAAGGTTGTCAAACCTTTATCAAAAAAAAAAAAATTCTACCGGAAAGTAAAATTAAATTTTTATAAACATTTGAAGTTGACATTATGACAACATTTAATATTCACTCCATTTCTCATATAGTGATTTTTACTTATTTTATTATAATGGAACAACCAATAATTGCAGATATTTGAAATTCACATCATTTGTTCATATTTTCAATTCATATACTTCATACAATTTTCAAATTATTTTGACTAGTTTTGAGCTGTTTACACACAATTTGAATTTTGAATTTTTTTAGTTTATTTAGTTTATTTTCCTATAATTGTTAATAAAATTGTATTTGTTGGGCAAAAAAGCTTGAAAAATTCAATACAATTCTCCTGATGGATATTTAAAATATTAGTTAAAAACTATTTAAAATATATATTCAGGATTTTTGTAATGAGCATTTAAAGTTTAAATTTTAACAAAATCCACATCATTTAAAATATACAAATAATTTTATAATTTAAAATTTTTGAAATATTCAACTTTTGTAGGTTAGGGTTGAAAATTCAAAACAAAGTTCCAAGCAAGTAGGTTATTCTGTTATTAAAAAATCAAAAAAATATTATCACAGATTTTTTATGTTCATATGTGAACTAAATTAAAATTAAATTGCCAAGAATAATGATTTATATTATTTTGTTGTAAATTAAAAATATTATTCG